TTGAGACTGACCCAGAATTCACTATGTGGCCCAGGCTGGTCTCAACTCACAGCAATCCTCCTGCCTCAGCCTCCTGAATGCCAGGATTATTGGCATGCACGACCACACCCACCTTGGCTTTTATTTTTAAATGCGGGGTGGTAAGGCACAGAAATCAGGGCCCTCACACTGAGCTACATCCCTAGTCCTTTTTTAAAAAATCTGTGTTTGGAGCCGGGGATTTAGCTCAGTAGTTCGGCTGCCTGCCTCGAAAGCCCAAGGTCCCGAGTTCAATCCCCAGTACCAAAAAAAAAAAATCTGTGTTTTGAGGTGGGGTCTCATTAAATTGCGCGGGTAGAACTGCAGTTTGTGCGTTGAGCCTCCTGCTTCAGCCTCGCTAGCACATACTAGGATTCCGGGCAAGCAGCAACCGTTCCTTTAAGTTCTCTAAGTGCGTGTCTGGGAAAGGGTTCTAGCACTTTTTTTTTCAGACTTTTTCTTTCTTCTTTTGAGGCACTGGCGACAGAACCCGGGCCTGCCCGGCACTTTTCCATGCCGCGTCGTCGCTAAACTGCTAGGCTGGACTCGAACTCGCGACGCCTCCACTTCCCGCTCAGGGCTGGGGTCACGGCCCGAGGCCGGGCGGAATGCAGGCTCCTGAGCGCGGATTTTCCCAGCTGCCCCCTCCTAGCCTCTCACCCCGCCGCTCCTCCGCACCTGTCCGTTATAATTGCAGGCATCAGCACGGAATTCAGAGCAGAGGATTCTTTGGTTGTTTCTTTTGTTTTTCCCAAAACTAAAACACACGACTGGGGCGTCGACCGCTGCCACGGAGTAAACCCCGGCGGCTCCGATCCGGGGTCGGCGACGGCCCTGAGAGCTGCGCTGCAGACCAGGTGACCCGGAGGCGGGGACCCCGCGGGGGACGGGGGCGCCCACGCAGCTTTCTCCTCTCCGTGCTGGGCCGGAGGCCCAGCGCCTAAAGTATTTCCTTATCGGGGAGCTTCAGTCTTTGCTTACTACCGACGACCTTGAGTACGCGCACAGGGCGCCGGGGAGGGGACGGGGGAGCCAGGTCGACGGGGCACTGGCGGGCGCTGCCGCGAACCCTGCCAGGTATTTCCTGGTGTGCAGGTAGCAGCACTTTACAGTTTGGCTGCTCCGAAACGTGGCCTGTGGTTGACTTGGTAGTCTGTGAAATAACCCCAAATTATATGCATTTCAAACATGCAAGCCTAAACCTGGCCCAGTGGGGAACACCAGTAATCCCAACGCCAATTCCAGCACTTGGGAGGCTGAGGCAGGAGGATCGCTGTGAGTTCGAGACCAGCCTGGGCTACGTAGTGAGTTCCAGGTCAGTCTCAACTACATATTGAGACCCTGTCTCAAAAAAACAAAAAATAAATAAATAAAATAAAAAATGAAAGCTGGGCGTGGTGGTACACACCTGTAATCCCAGCCCTCGGGAGAGCACAGGAAATTTGGAAGCCAGCCTGAACTACAAAGTCACTAAATAGCCCAGGTTAAACTAGAACTTGTGCTCCTCCCACCTCATGAGGCCTCCTGGGGTACTGGGATTACACTTATCCAATTTGAACTGATTATGTATTTACCCTTTTTTTTTGGTGGTACTGAGGAATGAACCCAGATTCTTCACGCTGAGCTACATTATATTATTATAATTATTATTCACTGAGGCAGAGCCCAGGCTGGGCTCTTACCTGCGATTCTCCTGCCTCGGCCTTCCCAGTGCTGGGATTACAGGTTTGTGCAGCCCCGCCCGGCTTGATACGATTATTCGAACACAGAGCAGATGAATTATCCTATCAGCCCTCTTCGCCCTAACGCAGGTGCACCCTCCAGTCTTGCTTTATTTACATTAAAATAGGCTGGAAGGCGGGTCTAGCTGGGGTTTAAAAGGAGACCCTACCGGTCCGCGGGGCGACTGGTTTCTCCCGCAGTCCTCGGCTCCCGGGCTCGGAGTCCGCACCCTGGTCCTGCAGCTTCCATGCTGGGGCGAGCCCGGGGCGGATCCGCCCAGCAGCCCATTGAGC